TACTCTATATTCAATTCAGCAAATCTCATGTGTCCATCAGCAGAAACTATGTGCGATTCAGCAATCCTTATGTGGCTCTCAGCAATTCCTATGTGGTCCTCAGCAATTCTTATGTGGCAATATTTTATCCTCATTGTACGATGCAGCATTGAGTATGGGGCTGCACATCGACGATGCAAAGTTCGACATATTGGATGCTGGATTTGCTCTCACAACGAAGGCCCTCACACCGTATCGTCGAAAGCGCTATCATTTGAAGGAGTTTGCTCGTGGTGGCCAGCGTCCTCAATCGAAGGAAGAGCTCTTCAATTTACGCCACGCTCAGTTGAGGAACGTTGTGGAGAGGATCTTCGGCATCCTGAAGAAGCGATTTCCGGTCCTCGTATGCCCTGTGGAGTACAACTACAAATTCCAAGTCGACTTGGTCCTTGCGCTTTGATTGCTTCGCAATTTTATTCGACGCCATGGCAACGACAGTTTGGAGCAAGAGGTCGTTGACGAAATCCGACGGCAAAATGAGCAGCCAATGGACTCAAGCGACATGCCACTATTCAATGAGGCGCTCGAAAGCTCGGAAGCAAAGACATGGCGTGACGAAATTGCCCAAGATATGTGGGATCAATATCAAATAACTCTTCGAGCGAGACATAATAGATATAGTCGAAATTTAATTTGATATTTGAGTTTCATTTATAACGTCCTCAGACTTATCCCCACACTTGTACCCACACTTGTCCCCGCAGTTGTCCCCGCAGTTGTCCTCACACACACTGCGTTCACAAATACTGACATTTCTTGATCCCCGTAGTCCTGAAGCTGTTTAAGTTGAGCAGTCATGGTGGACGCCAACGACGGTCTGACACGTTTTGACAACCCACCGCCACTTGCCCGCACGCGTCGCTTCGCTGGCTTTTCAGAACTGAGTTCTACTTGACTTGCCGCAGAGTTGTCGGAAATGTTGTCCATGAAATCCATATCCGCGATGTCGTTGTCGATATTAGCATCACTGTGTTGATCGTCACCATCCTCGATTGAGCTGGTCATGCTTTGCTGTTGTGTTGTTGATGATGCATACTCTCCCGTGGCAAGTGTTCCGTCATAGAGCTGCTGGCAGTGCAGATACTGTGGAAAGCGTTTTGTCTCCCACAACGCCCATCGTCTTGGTTTCCCTTCCAGGAAATGTTGCCAAGATCCCTCCGTGCACACGAACCGACATGTGGCTGCTTCGAAGCTGATTCCTGATGTGTGTACCATTTGCGACACTTGAGCATACTGCTTCTTCATTTCTGCATTCCTGGCCTTGAGCTGGACCTTCGTGTAGTTAACGCGGTGTTCGATGTTGAGTTTACTCGATGCTGCCTGCCACGCCTCCTTCTTGAACCCACTGTTTGCACGTTTGCCAAGGACTACCACTTGGTAGATCATCTCGGTCATCCAGGTAGCATCCTTCTCGTCGGTCCAGTTTGCGCGCTCGTCGGTCATGCTTTTTGAAATCTTGCCCGTTCTTTCCAATTCTCCTATATTATTGTCCAATCACATGGCATTCAGACAGTCCACCAAATAAAAATATTGCATAATGAAGTTATGTGGTTTTCTGTATTTCAAAAAATGCAGAATACGCATTACTAGTATTGCAATATCATCATATTTTTTAGGGTGGCTTCCAGACGGGCCCTTAGGTATAAAACTGTTTTATCAAAATTAGGATGTTCACATAAACGACGCGTGTCGTAGCCTCAATGGCCGAGTCTTCGTTTTTCATTTTGAACACAACGTGAACGCATACCCAGTAGTATGTATCGCATCTAGAGGCAGGGTGGCCGCTACGAACGACTCGTTACCTCATGGGCTGCCTGCTCGAGCATCATGGCTTGAAGGCATTGCGCTTTGACTGGCGACTTCATCGCCTGTTTGTAGGTCGTAGTCTCCTCTGAGCGAGTCTTGTCCTTGAGGGCGAGGAGGATATGTTTCGATGTCGAGGTAGATTGAGCGCCTGGGGTGTCCTCAATATACGACATAAGCAACTGAGCTGGATCGTCTTGTGGACGAGTGGCCAAGATAGAGTAATTAGATGACGACGCCATGGTTGGAGATGCCATGGGCCATTTTGGTGGTAGCCGTCTTAATTCTTCAACATAATAGCTTAGGCATCTCAGAAAATTAACACGCGCAATTCCCCGCATACCTTAAAGTGGCCGTTGAAAAAGGCACGCGTGAAAACACTTTTCCCGGCGTTGAACGACAGCCCGTGGCGGTGGTGATCGAAGCTGGAAACTCGGTTTGGCAAAACTACTGAAACAGTGTCGTATCCACGTGTCCGGGTGCGCAATCGGACCATGCCGCGATTGCTGTGGAGTACGATACGATGACGGGTCGTTCAAGGTCAACTGCTCGCCGGGCGTTAGCTGATGTAAGAGCGGTGGCTACATTCGCCTGCATCGTGGCACAATGGAAAATGCAACTTGGCGGAAGCCGCGTCATATCCCCAACTAGAGGTTGGCCACCCCTCCTGGCTCGACCCCTCCTCGCCCCACCCTCTTGGCTCCACTCCGCCTATGTGTGGTGTCCTTAAGTTTCATGTCCTCGCGATCGATAGTGTCGATGTAACTACAACACGAGACGTTCTACTTTCCATTCAAAGTTGTCGCCTCGATAGATTTGTGTTCGTCCTATGAAAACTGTGTGCCGGGTCGTCATGCGACTAGAATTACTGTACAACTATCGATATCTACAGGAAGTCGATTGACACAGTGTATTCTCCTGGAACACTGCTAGTTTAGCATTCAACGGTCCTATAGTGTAATGGTTAGCACCTAAGACTCTGAATCTTGTATTCCGGGTTCGAGTCCCGGTAGGACCTTTATTTTTTCTTCTTAATCGAGACGAATCATAAATTGACATAGCACTGTGTCATTAATTTATTGC